GAAATACAAGAAAGGGAGGCTGCAGAATACATTGCCCAAGCACGACGACAGTATCACTTTGAGAGTAACCAGAGGACATGCAATATGACAGGTAAGGCAAAGAAATCTATTCTACATGCGTGAAGCTGCTTGGTTTTTGTTTGTTTTGAGGTACTAGGGATTGAATTGAATCTAGGGCCTTTGCACTGAGCTTCATCCCCAGCTCATGTTTTTATATCTGTGTTTTGAGGCAGGGTCTCACTAAGTTCCTAGGGCTTGAATTTGCTATTCCTCTGCCTCAGGCTCCCAGACTGCTGGGGTTATACGCATACCCCACCAATGTCTGGTGGAGTTGACGGTTGATTTATATTTATCTGTGTATTTCCAAAACCAAATGTAGAGGAAAAGGCATAGAAGGATAAATCTACCAAGCATTTGCATTAACTGAAATATATCATTTTAGTCTGAGTTTTTAAAATCAGTATAAATACTTGGTCATTCATTTATTTGTTCAGCAGATACTCACAGTGCTCAGCACAGGGGAAGTAGGTAGTAAACAAGAAAAAGAAAAACATCCGTGAATTCAGGTTGTATGTTCTGTTGAGAAGTAAAGGTGATAAACAATCAGTAACTTTGCGTGTGATGGCTGCTGTTAGCACAATAAAGCTGTGTGAGGAATGAGGGTGCTTTTCAAGAGAAGGCAGTCGAGAGTTGGGGCTCTTTGAGGAGGTAACGTTGCAGAAGAGATCAAAGGGAACAGTGGTGGGAGCTGTGCCTGAGGTGAGAACAAGTTGGAACATTTGTGAAACTGCCCAAAGGCCACGTAGCATAAGAACAGTGAGCTGTGGACAAGTCGTAGGAACCAAGGCTTCAGAGATGGATCCACTCCCACAGGGCCACACAGGTCACAGGCAAGAGTCCTGAGCTTGTTACCTTTACAGGAGTCGGCTACAGACACACAAATCTCACACCATAATGTGCGGTCAGTCAGTGTTAAATTGTGGTAATGGTTCAAACTCTGGAGCTAGAAATCAACCTGCCCCTCTTTTGAGAGAACGAGTTATTGGTTCTAATTGTTCAACACCTTGAATAATTAGTTCTCTAATCTGTAACAAACCTATTCTTTTTCAATTTAGAGCTTAAACTTCTGTAATATTTATTTCAAGAACAATTAACTTAGAAAGAATTCATGAAGGTAAATGATCTTTGTTCAACTTTAAAAGTAGAACTTTATTTCCACAGTTCAGAGGACTTTATTGTCCATTTACTTGCCTCGTTTTACAAATGAAGAGGCTGAGGTTAAGAAGGGGGAAAGGCCAGCTAAAATTACAGCTTGAGGTAAGAATTTTCATATTTGAAATAAAACTCTGAGAAGTACCTCCATTCTGCAGAGCAGAGAGTAATCAGAAGTACTGTGTTTAATGACAGCCCTGATGAGGACCATGGATAAAGCAGGGGCACAAGGGTGAGAGGCATGTCTGGTGTAGCTTCCAGTTTGAATTATATCATCTCTGTGACTTTGGTTTTAAATCTCAGCTCTCTCCTCTGTAAAATAAACACCAGAAACCCAATCTTTTTGAAATGTTTTTTGTGACAGTGATGAGATAATGAACCAAAGTACCTGCCACATAGTAAATACTCAGTAAATGGTAGCTTTTAAAAAGTTACATAATTCTTTAAAAATTCAGTGTTTCATGTGATGATGCAACCGGGACATTTTAATGACTTTTGGGGGGGCAAGAGTGATCATTTCAGGTTATTATTCAGATTTTGGGAAAATAGAAGTAGCAGCTCCCAAGGTCTCAAAATGCATCTCAGTTTGATGTGCATCCTTTGGTCAGTCTGAGTCTTTCCGGAAGCAGATGTCAGGATAGGATTAGATGTGAGAGTTTTCCTTAGGGGAAATGGCTATGAAGAACAATGGGGAGGGAGCAGGTGTAGGCACTGAAAACCTAACGGAGTTCCCTGCTAGAGAAGTCCACACCTAAGCATTGTGATGGGCTCGGTCCATTGTGGCCCTAGTAATGGATTTAGAGGGGCAGCACCTGGGGCTGCTGGTTAACTATGCCATCCCAGGAGTTGGTGGGTGTAGCGCATGCCCATCATCATTACAACACTCAAATAAACAAAGAGCCAACTGTAGACAATTAAAAATAATATGTGGCGGTCACCAGGAGGCAAAATACAGGATTACTGAAGAACTTGGCAAACCAGCTCCTGTTATGCATTGACAATAGGGCTATAAGTAATATGATTCAGTTTATTTCCCTTTAGATAAAAATCTGTAGTGAAGATAATAGGAAAAAATGTAGGACTTTTAGGTAAATATAACTAGTTTTTTTGCTCAAGTTTATCCCACCTTAAAAAATAGCATCTGTTGGAATACTTCTGTGTTTGCCTTTTGACTGTATCTTCAGGATTTTACTGAAGATCTAGAGGGGCTCCTTATTAAATTTACACATGAAATGGAGTGTTGTTCTACATTAAAAAGTCATGTGGGGGCCGGGAATTTAGCTCAGTGGTTCTGCCATCTGCCTCATGAGCACAAGGACGTGAGTTTGATCCCCAGCACCAAAAAAAAGAAGAAGAAGTCATACGTACAGATACATACATACAGAATTATCTGAGCTGGTTTGCAAGTAGGGTATGTGAATAAAGATTAGAAATTCTAGTTGAGTACAAATTTGTTAAGAACAAAGTCTGATGTGACTTCTAGAAATGTTAATTTACTCTTAAACTACAGTAATAAAGTATGTGGTTCAGATCAAATGGGTACAGTATACTCTGCAGTAGTCAGGGACATTTCTGCCTCTGACATGTTAAGAAGATGTTTTCAAACTAAAGTATTTCATAAAGAGGCAAATAATCAGAGCTAATGTGTACTGAGCATTTCCATGAACCAAGAAGCACTGTTCTAAATGTTTTATATGTCTCTATCCTTACAACAGTCCTGTAAAGTGGTAGTAATGTTACGGAAGGAACTGGTAAATGACACACAGAGACGCAAGAGTTGGTAAAACAAAACAAAACACTTTTGCTTTACTAGTTAAGGGTCAGCCTGTATCAAGGGCTGTGCCAAATGACTGGCCCTGGGCTGAGTTACATTCTGCCCTTTATAGGAGCTTTACAATCATGACTGCATTTTAGGTAGTTCGATAAGACATTCCAGTTCTCTGAGTTCCCGTTACAAATCATGGTCACAAGACAGTTTAATTTTAACCCAAATGTAGCACCTTCTTTGTGGTTAGGATGTTTATCTTTAGGATTCACCTAATTAGCTATTCTAGCCCACAAGAGTGGGGGTGGGTTAGGAAAACAGGACTGGTGACATTACTTTCGTCTTAACTCCTTTATAGTCAAAGGATTTACAGAATGTTTAGGGTTTAGGGTCTAAGTATACTTTGCTTGTAAGGTACAGCGATGGTTATCTTAGTTTGAACATCTGGTCTTACCCTGAGGATTTGGCTAAGCACCTCTGACATCAGTTAACCTTATAACATTTTAAACTGGGGCTATGCGCCTTCAAACTTTGTAGTTAATGATGAAACCTCTGGTACTGTCCTAAGAAACAAGCAAAGCAAAGCAAATTACAGAAGCAAAAGATAGTGTTTATTCTGTATTTCCTTAACATTTTGTAGGTTTCAGACTATTTACAGAAGTTCTCTTTATCAGTAATACTCTTCTGTTACCCTTAATTTACCTCTGATGAAACTTGGGCACAGAAGGGTTAAGCAACTTGCTCAAGGTCACAGAGATTCAAGCTAGTATTTGTGCTTGGACTGGAAATACTTAGCATGGAGACCAGGTGGCTAAAGTGCTGATTAAACTAGATGCATACATAAAAGTGGGTAATGGGGTCCAAGACAGGTTCCTAGGTTCTTGTGTGTGACAAACAGAATAGATGTGGCACATGATGGTAAAGAAAAAGCAGCAAAATTTATTAAGGCAGTAGTACACTCAGAGTGAGCAGGCTCACACCTGTGAGAGGAAAATGGTAGCGTACTAGGGGCATACGGGTGGGCTTTGAAAGTGTGTGCCAGTTCTGGGGCACCTCTCAGTGGGGTCTTCCAGTCATCTGTGTCTCTTGCCTATGTTTCCATCACCTTTCCCCATAATTCACTCTGTGATAACTGGATGTATGAGATGCAGTCCTTACCTGTGAGCGCCAGGTGAAAAAAGGTTACTGCAGGTCATAACAGCAGACTTAGTGCACATGCATACATCCTAGCTTAGAATTGTGGAATTTTCTAGGGCAGGCTTGGGCATCTTTGCTTTCTTTTTCTCTGCTCCATTTTAGAGTCTTAGGACAAGGGCAGAGGGGAGGTGATTTAACTTACCCCACAGTAGCAGGCTTGCTGACTCATTACAGAAAAGGAAATTTCAGGATGCATGGGAAAGAGGCAGAGGAGGGTTTATTAGGCTGAGACAGGGAGAGTGGTGTGCACTCAGGAGAGGAGTGTGGGTGACTAGACAAGTGAGACACATTGCAGTTCAGGACTGAGTACATTTATGCTTTTCTCTATTTTTTTTTTCTTTTTTAAAAAAATTTTGGGTTTTTTGAGACGGTGTCACTACATAGTTGAGACTGACCTGGAACTCGCTATGTAGCCCAGGCTGGTCTCGAACTCACAGTGATCCTCCTGCCTCAGCCTCCCGAGTGCCGAGTGCTAGGATTATAAGCGTGGTTATTAGTGATTTCCATCCTTAATTGCTTTGATTATACTTCGACTTAGTTTTTCTCAAAGTGAGCCTCAGAAATAGCACTTGTGGAGTTACGCATACGGGGTGCTATTCCATCCTGGATGCACCACCACACCCGGCTACCTTTATGCTTTTCTTGAGGGAGGAAACCCTAGGGGAAAAGCACCCCTTCAAGGGTTCCAGCCAGTTTGCAGGCATTTTTTTTTAATAGGTGATTTAAACATTCTCTGAATTCACTCATCCTTTTGTTTACTCTCTTGATTGGGCCAATTGATGACATAGGGATGGGTCTGGTGGGGAAGGAGTATAAATCTGGCCAAGGCCTGTTGGCATTGGCATGCTCCTTATCTCAAGGCCTACCTACGACGACACCTTACTTTCTTAATTGAGCCAATTAATTGTCTTTAATGGTGGATCTGGTAGAGAGTAGGTGTAACTCTAGCACAGGCATGGCTGTCTTGGGGGACTTCGGCTAAGTCCTGGAAGTTGCAGTCTTCTCCCAAGTGCAGTTCTCAGTTGTGATTTCTTTGTCTCCTTTCTACCTTTCTCTCGTCTCTCTGTCCCACCGCAGTGTGAGTGGATGGGAATGCTTCAGCAGTGCGTGAGGGAGGCAGCCCCCATCCCTGTTGTGCTGTCTGTATTAAAAGTGTTTGTTCAGTGTTAATATACATGTTACTATATGCATGGAGAATTAGATGTGTCTGGTTGAATAGGCTGAAGTGGAGAGTGATAATTTCTTCTCTCTCAGAAGAATTACCCAAGAAATACTCCTCTCAAGTTATTGTACTACAGAATCTTTAAGCTAGTTCCTTATTAACTCGATTTTCTCAATCTAGGACTTTAGCCTGCCTATCTGTGTCTCTATCTCTCTGTCTCTTTCTTAAGTAACATTTAGTTGTCATTCTGTATCCATGAGGAATTCGTTCCAAAATCCAAGGATTTTCAAGTCTTATATGAAATGATATAACGTTTGCAGTAATCTACACACATCCTCGCATATACTTTACATCATCTGTAGGTTATTCTAATGACAAATACAGTGGAAATAGTTGTTGTACTTGTTGCGGGGGAATGTTGACAAGGAAAATATCTGTACATGTTTAGTAGAGACAGGCTTTTTCAAATCTGCATAGCAGAACTAGCTGATGCAGTGGGCCAACTGTGTTGTGCTTTGGACTAGATAGATATGCCAAATAGACTAACTTCTACATCAATTCTGAGTTTCTACTTTAGAGAATGGTCTAAATGTAGGAAATTCAAACATGCAGCTTGGGAAAATACGGTATACTGAATCTGCGGAGTGCAACATTGAAACAAATGTTGAATATAAGATTAAAACCTGAATTTTCTATAAGAAAATACGATTTTATAATTAACATGTCTTGCCTAGTCAGGCAGTGAAAATGATATAATAAAAATTTCCCGGGCTGGGGATTTAGCTCAGCAGTTCGGTGGCCTGCCTTGCAAGCACGAGGACCCGAGTTCAATCCCCGGTACTCCCCCCCCAAAAAAAAAAGAAAAGAAAAAAATTCCCTTTTAGAATATGGTATTTGGGTATTTGTGATACTCTTTCCTTATTTTTCTTCTTAAAACTTTATTTCAGTATAACTGTGCTTATAGAAATACATTTATATTGGACAACAGAATGCAGTTTAACTGATCTTATACAATTTTTAGTACATAATTTAAGATTTTAGATGAGATTTACAATCTGAATTACCTTTATATATTGCAAATGTTTAAAATATCTTCAAATACTACTAAACAAGGTAACAAGAACCTTAAGAAATAGACCTGTGAGGCTGAGGATTTAGCTCAGTGATACCCCTCCTCAAGATCCTGAGTTTGATCCCAGAACCAAAAAAAAAAAAAAACAAAAAACAAAAAAATCCTGTGATTTGTTTCAGAAAATTATGTATTACATTGTAAACTTTATAAAATTGGTGCAGCAAAACATTGTTGCAGTGTTACAATGCTGGTTACAAAGTTCAGTGGCTAATGGATGTGGAAGTCGGCAGAAGGGAGCTTATGTAGTTAATACTGTATTAGGTTATGAATCCCAACAAAGCAAGATACAGATAATTTCTTCAGTCTATACTAACTATAAGCTCACTTCACCTGCTGGCATCAACAAGGAAACTTGACATACTAGCATTTGAAGCTCTTCTGATTTATGCAAAGAAAAAGGAAAGTAAAAATTTCCCCCACCATTTCAGTCCAGAAATGACAGAGTGCTACAGACAAGGTATTCTGCTCTTTGTCAACATTTGGTGACAATGCCACGAGGTCAACTGTCTTTTAATTTGTAGCAACCCTCAAATGCAGAATAGTCCCCAAAATTAATGACAAGACTTAGAAGTGACTGAAAAGTGAAATGGCCCTGCTTAGAAAACTAGAGCAAAATACCTAGCATAGTTATAAGAAGCCTTATAAAACAGCAGTGTGGCCCCTATGAATTATACTTCCGTACAAAAACAAGTGTATCCCAAAATTAGAAGCAGTTCCTTAAAAAAGAAAAACATAACTTAAAACATTTTAAAAACCAATGGGAATGTAGGTTCAAAAATAACTGAAAGAAGATTCCACTTATAATGTATTCTAGCATTTCAAGTTTATCACTAGTTATGTAATATAAGCTTACAAATAACATGTTAGTTTCTTATTCCTTTATCAAAAGGCAAAATTCTAGGTTTGATTTTTTGAAGAATTATAGAAGAATATGTATTAGAATGATTATTCATATTTTCTAAGAAAATAAGAATTCTAATAGCTCCAGGCAAATACATTTTTCAAATGGAAAAGCTCCCTTTGTACTAGAAGTTCTGATTACTAATTTACTTTTCATTGAAACAATTTTTCATTTTTTTATTAATGCATGTTTGTAGTACAATATATTTACATTACTTGTGGAAAGTTTGTACATATACATAATATATCTCAACTGCCTTTTTTTCCCTTCCCCTTTCTGTTTCCCTTCCCCCATTCATCCCTTGAACCCCTTCCTTTTATTTTTCTTTGTATATGTTTGCAATACATATTTCCTTCCCTTGTATGGAGTTGGTGCATGTACATAACAACCTTTAATTCCTTTTTCATCCTCTTTTCCTCTCTTCACTCCCTCTCCTTCTCCCTTTTTCTCACTCTTTGAGAAAGATCTACGTCCTTCCTATTATCTTTTATTTTTTCTTTTTTTATACTTTGGGGTTCTCAATAATAGAATTCATGTGATATTTAAGCTTGTATCTGATTTATTTCACTTAGTATTATAGTCTCAAGGTGCTGTTTTCCTCTAAATGACTCATTTATCTTCATGGTGAAGTAGTGCTTCATTGGGTATAAATTCTACATTTTTTGTGTCCATTCATCTGTTGACAGATACATAAGCCACTTCCAAGATTTGTGCTGTTATTAACATAGGTATGCGTGTATCACTCACTGTGTTATGATATCTTTAATTATCTTGAGAAGATTATTTAGAAGGGGAATAGCTATGTCTAATGGAGTTTCTATTTTCACTTTCTGAGGAATCTCCATACTGATTTACACATCAGTTATACTAGTTTATATTCCCACCAATAGTGTAGAGAAGTTCCTTTTTTTCTTCACAGGCTTGTCAACATCTGTTATTATTTGATTTCTGCATGATGCCCATTCTTTCTGAGATGAAATCTCAGTGTTATCTTAATTGGCATTTCTCTAAAGGCCAGCAATATTGAGCATCTCTTCATATATTTATTGGCCATTTGTATTTCTTCTTATAAGTGTTCATTTCACTTGCCTATTTTTTGATTGGGTCATTTATTTTGAGGGGGAGTCTAAGTTTCTTTTAATTTTTTATTTATTCTATATTTATCCTCAGACAAAGAAATAGCTGGTAAAACTTTTCTCCCACTCTGTAGGTTGCCTTTTCATTCGGTTGGTTGTTTATTTTGCTGTGTAGAACCTTTTTAATTTGATCTGATTCTGTTTGCCATTAGTACTATTTCCTATGAAATGGGTGTTCTGTTCAGAAAGTTCTTATCTATGCCTCAGTTGTTTTATCTCGTTTGTCTTACAGCTTACAGCTGGTAAAGTTTTTCTCTTATCATTTAACTCTTTGATCTAATTTTAGTTTAGTACATGGTGAAAGATGTATGTCTAGAGCCAATATTCTCTACATATAGATAGTTTTCCCAACACTTTTTTTTTTTGTACCAGGGATTGAACCCAGGTCCTTGCTCTTGCAAGGCAGGCAGTGGAACCACTAAGCTAAATCCCCAGCCCCCAACCCCACTTATTAAAGAGCCTATCTTTGCACCAGTGTTTATTTTGCCCCCTTTGGCAAAGATCAAATAGCATATGCTTTGGGCTTTTTCTGCATCCTCTATTCTGTTCCATTGATCCTTATATCTGTTTTTGTTCCAGTACCATGCTTTTTTTATCACTATAGCTTTGTAATATAACTTCAAGTTTGGAATTGTGATGCCTCTAGCTTTGCTCTTTTTATCCAGGATTTCTTTTGTTATTCTGGGTCTCTTCTGTTTCTATATGAATTTTAGGATTGTTTTCTTCAGTTCTTTGAAGAATGCTGCAGGAGTTTTGGTTGGGGTTGCTCTAAATCTATGTATCAATTTTAGACATACAGCTATTTTTCTTGGTGCTATTGTGAATGGCACTTTTGTCCTAATTTGTTTTCCAGTGAGTTCATTTTTAATACACAGAAATGCTATTGAGTTTTGTGTGTTGATTTTGTATCCTTCTGCATTACTGAATTTGGTTATTTTAAGAGTCTTTTGGTGTAATTTTGGGGGTCTTCAATGTAGAAGATCATGTCATCTGCAAATAATGATAACTTTGATTTCTTCCTTTCCTTCACATTATCCATTTTATTTCTTTCTTTTGCCTGATTGCTCTGGCCAATGTTCAAGGGCTATATGGGACAGAAGTGGTAATAGTAAACATCCTTGTCTTTTTCCTGATTTTAGAAGGAAAACTTAAATTTTTCCCCATTTAATATGATGTTGGCAATAAGTTTGTCATAAATGGCTTTTATCAGATTAAGTCATTCTACACCTATTTTCTTAAGTGTTTTTAATCATGAAAGGATGTTGGATTTTTGTTTTGTTTTGTTTTGTGTTGTGTTTTTTGAGCCAGGGTCTCACTATGTAGTTGAGATTGACCTGGAACTCACTGTGTAGCCCAGGCTGGTCTCGAACTCACAGCAATCCTCCTGCCTCAGCCTCCCAAGTGCTGGGATTACAGGCCTGAGCCACCACGCTCAGTTTAGGACTTGGATTTTGTCAAATGCTTTTTGAGCATTTTTATTGTCATATCTAGGCCGTTCTGTCAGAAAACTGCCTGATTTCACACCAGAAAAATTAAAGATGGCATTCTCTGATTAGTCCCAGATGCAAAGTTTGGGCACATGTGTCCTGAATTTCTGCAGGTCATGCCTACTTGTCCAGCTGGCTGGCCATGCCTACTCTGAGACTGCTTCAACAACTTATTTTACTGTAGTGAAAAACTCCTAATAGTGAGAAAATCTCATGTTGAATTTTTAAAGTATTTTTTCATGATATCATGTTAGTGTTAGAAATTCATTGTAATTTATATGTGTGTATGTCTATAGCTTTTTTTATTTTTATTTTTATTTTGGTACCCGTAATTGAACTCGTGTCCTTGCGCTTACAAAGCAGGTGCTGGAACCACTGAGCTAAATCCCCAGCCTCCTATAGCATTTTTATACAGTGTTCAGAGACACAAAGTAATTCCTATGAATTGTTTGTAAACTTTTTTTCTTATAGAGTACTGTATCTTGTTTTGTTATTTTTCCTGGGAGAAATAGACATGCAGTAGCCACTGACAAAATCAAAACTAAAACTTAGCAGCCCTCAGTTCCTCACCTAAAGTACTTTTGTCTTATGTTACAATGAATACTTATCACTCTGTATTATCTTATAACCTTTTTTAAAATTAGAAGTAAAATATGAAACAAAAAGTATAGCTAAATATAAAAATGTTGGATTTGATAATTTGCATCATATCAGAAGTAAACATTAATTGTTAGAAAGCTGAAGAGTACAGAAAAGAAAGAGGAAAAAAAAGAATTACCCATAATCTATACCCCAGAGATCACCACTAGGATTCTTTCTTCTTTCTTCTGCATGTGTTTGTTTACATTGCTGATCATGATGTATGTTTAGACCTGGGGATGTAGCTCAGCAGCATTGTGCCTGCCTGGCAAGCATGAGGTCCCGAGTTCAATCCCTGGTACTAAAAACAAAAACAGAAAACAAATAATGTATGCGTAATTTATTTCAGTTAACATAAGGAATAGGTGATTAACCCATAATAGTTTTATATTTCTATCAATATTGCGATTGTCTAGCTTTGACATTCCCTCCAAGTTCTTACAGGTCGCTAGTCTTATCATACCACTTAAAACAATCTGCATTTTTCAGCGAGGGTAGGAACATCACTTACCTTTTGAATTTTCTGCTTGTATTACAGTGCTGTCCATGCTTCCAACACTGAGGGAGGCCTTAATGCAGCAACTCAATTCAGAGAGCCTTACAGTTCTGCTAAAAAACAGGTAAATCTCTGTTTAGGACTTTACTTAAAGTGTATAGAATGAGCTGAAATACATTTCAAAAGTCTTTGTTTCCTTCTCTTTCTCTTTTAAGTTTGTTACACATAAGCTCAGAAAAATACATATGACTCTGTCCTTGAATTAATATTTTATTTATGCTCCTTTTTGCTCTATCTCAAATTACAGAGATCATTTAGGGCACTGTGTATGCATTGTTTTTCATATAAACAATTTTATATCATTAATAATTGAGTATTTACAAACTGTATTTCTGAACCAGTTTCTGAACTAGATGTTGTGAAGCTGACAAATTTATGTTGAATACCGTCCTTCTTGAATGGTGTTATTTTGTTAACCAGTCAGGGATTGTTAAAGCAAAGGTTAAAGAATTACAGCAGCACATCGAAGAGTGAAAAAGATGATGGAAAAAGACCAGAGCTATTCCTGGCTTCCCCAAATTATGCCTTGGCTACTTCCCTTTTTGGGCCCACTGGCTTGTATATGCCTTTTGGTCATGATAGGGCCCTGTCTGCTTTGCTGTTTTCAAAATCTCTTTCAGGAACACGTGAGGGCATTTGCCTACCAGACAAGCACAGAACTCATGGCGGGGTACCGGCCACTGCGGCAGAGGGTTGAAGTCCTCACCTACCGCTGCCCCAACCAGATCCAGGTTTAGTCCCAACCTTCGCCCCTTTGTCAGCTTGAAGCAGCTCCAGAAGAAGAGACCTTCGCCCAATAACCACAAAACAAAAAGCCTGGAATGTTAGATTTCCCTTGCCTTAAGACAGCTGCCAGGTGGAATAGCAGCCTTCATGTTAAAATATGGCTTCTCTCAACAACGGACAGGCTTCCTCTTCCCGTCATGCCTCTTCTCCCGCCAAAAGAGTAACCTGACACTCGCTACCTCCTAGCAGCTAGTGATGTCACAAGCCTCTCCTAGTGTTGTGACAGGCTCCTCCAATCCCTTAATACTACCTCACTCAACTCCACCCTGGCTCAGGTCAACCCCACCCTGCTCCTATAAAAGAAGCTCCCTGTTCTGCCATGTGGCTGTCTTTCCTTTGTTTAGAGACAGCCTGGCAGATCCTCCCCATAATAAAGACTTGTCAAAAAAAAGAAGAATACCATGCTTCTTAAAGTGTTTAAAATGTATTAAGTAAAGCATGTTAACATATTTTACATAGGTAAGGTGATGAATTTACATGTTCAGTTACTAGCAAAATGGAACACAAATATGATACAAACATGTAAGACTAATAATTTACATGACTATGGCAATTTATAAAACACTTTCATATATATGACCTCTTGTATCACATCCAGTATACCTCAAGATGTTATAAGTCAGTATAATTCTGTGTTTGAGAACACAGGCTTCTTCCTTTAAGGAACACGCTTATGTGGTGGTGGGGTGATTTCCCTCAGTAAATTCCTTGTGGTAGGGCCTCATGCATACTAACCATGTGCTCTACCAGTGGACAACAGCCCCAACATTAGATAAATTTAATCATTGTAGTCTTACTGAAATATTTACTTGCCTTGTAATCACCTACCAAATAGCCAGAGGGAATTAACTGCGGTTTGTAGAGTCTTTCTGAGCCTTACCTGTGCTAGGCACCTCTATATATACATGCTACCATTTAATCTTCACAACATCCCTGTGAGAAATATTATTGTCAGAGAGGTTAAATAATAAGCTACAGAGTTTCCTTAAAATAATTTCTTGTATATTCAAAGGATACTTCCCAAAATAACAATGAATTTTTATCTGATTAAAATATAATACCAGTGTCATCAGACTTCACCTCCATAAATTTCAGTATTCTTAGGATAGATTCACTTTAGTTTGTAAAGTTTGGCTTATGAATTAGTTTCTGTAGTTCTGTGAAGAAGACACATATGAGCAAATTGCTCTCAGTCAAATAAATACCTAATTATCACCTATATGAATATAAATATAGGATAGAAAAGAAATAGATTTTTGTATTGCCTTACATTTTCGTTTTATTGGGAAGGCAAGACAAAGTAGGTGTAAAACAATTTTATAAAAGCAGTGTCATCGCAGACATAATAAACATGGTGGTGCACACCTGTCATCCCATCTCTTGGAAGGCTGAGGCAGAAGGACTGCTAGGAGTTTGAGGCCAGCTTAGACTATGTGGTGATTTCAAGGCCAACCTGAACTACATAGTGAGACGTCATCTCAAAAAAACAAACAACAACAAAAAACATGGTGGCCGTCTTCATTCTTACTGAGTGTTTCCTCTAAGGTGTAGGTGCCATATGCTTTGAGGGATTCAGGATAGTTAAAATAGGGCTGGGAGCTTAACTCAGTAGCAGAGCACATGTTAATTTGCTAGAGGTTCTGGATTCAATCCCCAGCACTCACTATTAGGATAAAGTTCTTTTAAGTCCTTGACAGACAAAGGAAAAAGTAGACTAAATAAATCATCATAATTCAAGGCATAGTAGTGCCATGATAAAAAAAGTAAAATAAAAGCAAGAGAGGGAGAGGGAAAAGAATAAAAACAAATGTGAACAATGTGTGTAGGAAAATAGAAAAGCTTTAATTTTTGATGTATAATTCTGGATTAGAGGAAAGATGTGCTTCCACTTTTCTTTTTTGTAGAAGAGAATTTCTTAAAATTAAGATAGGTCACTGAACTCCTTACCCTGTTTATATGTTATTTTCTTATCTTAATCATACTTTGAAATTTTTTCTGGTGAGCAAAAATGTGATTTACTTGCATTGAAATACTTTGTGTTGTAGTAAATTCTCCATTTAATCAGAATAAATATGGTAGTGAACTTATCTAGTATGAATGGAGCCCTAGATTCAATCCCTTGAACTGAAAAAAAAAAAAAAGAATCACTATGGCATCCCACCCTGAATCTGTAGATTTGAGAAAGTGCGTGTTGGTGCCTTGTAGGTAGGATCCACTCCACCTGTCTTTTGAACCTGTGCTGTCTAGGGGATGATTGAAGCTCCAGGCTCTGTTCACAGGCAGAGAAAGATAAAAAGCTTATATTTTTATTGCTATAGTATCCTTCCATTTTTGTAAGGGAGCAGATATGAATATATTACATACACATTTCCTTATATAAAGTAAAGTAAAAAAGATTTTTTTCATTGTGGTGATGTGGTGTTGGGGACTGAACCCAGGGACTTTGTGTGCAGCTATATCCCCAGGCCTTTTTCTCACTTCTTTATTTTGAGACAAGAGCTCCCTAAGTTGCTAAGTTGCCTGGGTTGGACTCAAACTTGTGATCCTTCTGCCTCAGCCTCCCATAGTGCTGGGATTGCAGGTGTGCACCACCACACCTGGCTTAAAGATTTGTGTAACAGTCACCTGTGAATAAGGGACAGAATAAAGAGGGATAAGAACATAACTTTTTTTTGATGTGCTGTGTTGTACAAATTTGACTTTAGAACCATATAAATATTTTATGTAATTACAAAAGTATTTCCATTTTTAAAAAGCAGTATCTAAATAATTTGGGTAAAATAAACCTAAATATAAGTCTTGTCAATGCTATAATCACAAAGACAGAAACCATGCTTAGTGAGTAAAACAGAAGTTGTACTGTACATCCTCCATGAAATACATGATCCTCTGACACGGAATTAACAAAACAACTTCAGACCCTTTTAATATTGCTACTGTAATTTTACAACTAATGTACATGGGTTGAGGGAATCCAGCACTAGTCATTTCATTGGCTTCACAGATTTCTGGTGTAGGCAGAATGAAGTGCAGATGTAAGAGCAGTGAAATTAAAAATCCTGTGGCCTTGTGTTAGTCAAGTCTTCTTCACTGTGACCAGACACCTTGGAAAAAGAACTCAAAGAGGAAAGATGCCTTTCCAACCACGGTTCAGTGTGTGGCAGGCTGGTTCTGTTGCAGTGGGCTGGAGCCGAGGCAGAACATGGGATGGGACAGTGGAGAAGAGCTGAGCACTTTGTGGTGGCCAGAAGAGCAGCAAGGGACCGAGAGGAAAAGGAGCTGGGGGCCAGATAGAGAACGAACCTGAGGTCGGTCCACTCGCCCACCGGCTCTGCCCCGATTTTCCACCCCCTCCTAGTCAAATGGCAGTCTCATCAGTGGTTTCCTCCACAGATGAAGTTAGAGCCGTCAGCCAGTCACCTTCTGAAGATGTGCAATTTAAACACCGCCAGTGCATTAATATTTCATATGCGTGGAAATCCATACATGCATAATGATAATTTAAAACAAAATAATGTCGATACAAGATTACTTCATGATTTGTGAAATAATACATAAGGGAAAGAAAGAAATATTTTTCCTGATTTTCTTTATGGTTTTATAGCACATGTCTACATATGCTCAGAAAGAGAGAAAACAAATTATACCAGTGAAAAGGGTTGCTCTTATTGGTTACTAGAATTATAATTGTTTCTTGCTGTATTCTGTGGGCTTTGTTTTTTTCAGTCACTATTATTTTTAATATTAGAAATTAAATATAAATCTATAAAGTTCAGAGTTTTTAATTAACTTATCTAGATTATTTTCATATCTGATTCTTTTCTTTTAGACCTTCAAACAAGCTGGAAATATGGGAGGATCTGAAGATAATAAGTAAGCCTACATAACAGCATATCTTTAGGCTATTTATAAAGGGAAATTTTTACACTGTATTTTGTGTACTGAATTGTGTGCCTTATAGAGTTGGCATCATAATTAAAATAATACTCATGAAACAAGTGAATCAATATGTAGTCACAAAAAGTATTCAGTGAATGGTGGGCGGTGGTGGTGGGATTACTGTTCTCATAATAACGATGTGAGAAATTGTGCTAGACTATATATGCCTCTTCTGGGTACTAATGTCATTAACATTATATTTTAAAGGAAGTTTTTACCTCCAGCTCAGTAGTACTGTGTGTTGCTAAATGCACTGGGACATTTTCCTCCCTCTGGACCTCTTGGCAGCAGTCACCACGTCTCTTCCCTCCT